TTTAGTAAATAGAATAAAATTTGCAAATCATATATCTGATAATGGGTTAATATCCAAAATACACAAAGAATGCATACAACTCAATAGCAAACAAACAAAAAATCCAATTAAAAAATGGGCAGAAGATCTGAATAGAAAATTTTCCAAAGAAGACATAGAGATGGCCAACAGACACATGAAAAGATGCTCAACATCACTAATCCTCAGGGAAATACAAAGCAAAACCACAATGAGATATTACTTCATACCTGTCAGAGGGGCTATCATCAAAAAGACAGTAACAAGTGTTGGCAAGGATGTGGAGAAAAGGGAACCCTCATACACTTTTGGTAGAAGGGTAAATTAGTGCAGTCACTATGGAAAACAGTATGGAAGTTCCTCAAAAAATTAAAAATAGAACTACCATATGATCCAGTAATTCCATTTCTAGGTATCTATCCAAAGAAAATGAAGACAAACTCAAGAAGATATATGCACCCCATGTTCATTGCAGCATTATTTATTTATAATAGCCAAGATATGAAAACAATGTAAGTGTCCATTAATGGATGAATGGATAAAGAAATTGTGTGTGTGTGACACACACGCATGCAATGGACTGTTATTCACCCATAAAAAATAACGATCTCTTGCCATTTATGACATGAATGGATCTTGAGGGCATTATCCTAAGTAAAATAAATCAGAGAAAGAATATACAGTATGATCTCCCTTATACTGGAATCAAAAAACAGAAACAAAAACAAAAACCAAGCTCATCGATACAGAGAAGATATAGATTGCCAGAAAGAGGCAAGGGGTGGTAGACAAAATGGATGAAAGGGGTCAAAAAAGTACAAAATTCCAGTTATAAAATAAACAAGTCATGGGGATATAATGTACAGCACAGTGATTATAGTTAATAATACTGTATCACATATTTAAAAGCTGCTAAGAGTAAACCTTCAAAGTTTTTATCACAAGAAAAAAAAATTTGTAACTATGTATGGTGATGGATGTTAACTAGATTTATTGTAGTGATCATCTTGCAATATATACAAATATACAATCATTATGTTGTACACCTGAAACTAATATAACCTTATGTACCAATTATACTTCAATTTTTTAAAAAGTCCATGAAATATTTTCAACCTGATTAGGTGATGTCACTTGGCCATGCTTTCTAACTGAAAACTTTCATAAGTTGCAAAAAAAGAAATTAATTTTAAAATTGGGTTTCAGAAAAATGACAAAGTGAAAATTGGCAGTAACAGAAGCAATGGCAGATATTTTACTTGAGAAAAATTACTTGTTTGGCAATAGCACATTCCAACAACTTTCTTGCATTATTTCTTTAAACAGTCACAATCTCAGTGGCCAAGTTTACTTCTGTGTTTGAATAAAGGAATTTGACCATCAGAGATCAGTAACATTCTAGTTGTCTCTTTGGAGCCCTGACAGAGAAGTAGGAAAGAAGACGCTAGCTGCTGCCAGGTGAGGATGATGTGAGCAGTGCTTTAGCTGCATGTCTAAGTCATTAGTTAGAATTTGGGAGAATCAACACCTGGCAACTCTAAAGGCCCCGCCAACAGCAACAGCCACTCAGCCACCGACAGAAGGTCTCTAAGCCTTCTGAATCCATCACTTCTGGGACCTTTAGAGTCATCCTCCAATCCATCAGTGATAAAAGGCATGTTCCTGCAAATGGAGAACCATAAATATTCAAGTGCTTTTGATCAAACTTGCAGCACTTGGCCAGCTGCTTGACACTGGTAGTCTCCTAATTTTAGGCTGTGTCACTAGACTTTGCTCACACCAACAACTTGAAATTAAAATTCTCTCATGAGAATAGTGTTCTTTGCCACCCTAGTAAAAAGTAGTTGTAAATTTGTTACTTAAAAATATTTCTGATAGTATTGGATATAAAACACAATGATACACAACAATTTTAAATTAAGGAAGTTTTCTTTATGCTCTCAATCCCTGAAATCAGTCTTTGGTATGCACGGGACTCCTGAGAAAAGCCTGCTGTAGCAACTAGCTTTTCAGGATTCAATTCTGGCTTAAAGATACTCATTTTTGTCTCCTATAAACTAGGTAAATAGTAATCATCTTTTATACACATTAATGTTTTTAAATTTTGTATTTTTAATGCATCTACTAATTTGCATTTTATTTAAATAAAAATGTAAAGATAAATAATAAATATAAATAGGTAAATAGATTGATAATTGAATAAATATCAATAAATATCTGAAACTGGTACAGCAGCCAAATTTTTCAAAGGCTTATAAACCCAGCCATTTGAATTTGCTTCAGGCTAAAACTTCGCATTCAAAGTTGATGATGGAGATGCAAATTGCTTTTCCAAAGAGCTGTTTATATTGGTTAAGCTGTTTCTTACATGTAAAACAGTGGGGAAAAGGGAAAAGACAGAACACTTTCTCAGGCTTCTCATGATTTCTTTTAATCTATTCTGTGCAAAAATATGGCTTACAGTTTATTGCTGAAATGTAGGAACATGAAGATTCCCAGTCCGCAGTTTTAAACTTAACAAGTATCTCAATTACTTGCAGAATAATTACTTCCAGAACTTTAATACTATTCTATTAACAGTTATACCCCTTCTACTCATGCGGAGAAATTCTAACAAGAGCCAGGGACTCAAAAATGCCCGACTGAAACCATGCCATGACAATGCATTATTTTTATCATAAGTAGATAAACCAGTAACTCGTATCATTTTTCTTCCATGAGGCAAGAGCCTGCAATATTTCTTCATAATAATTTCAATTTTACTAAAATGTTTCTGAAAAGAACAACAGCTAACAACAAACCCATGTTTGCATCAAGTGCTATCTATTTCCCCCTTGCAGGTTTGTTTTTGTTTTTGTTTTTTTCTGTATCTTAGCAAAGGGGTGAAATAGTATTTAAGATTCTAGAAAAGGTGATTTTCTTAGGGCAACTTAAAATTTAATTTCTCCAAATAACAAATAGATTTCTAGCATAATTAAAAACTAACTAGTTTGTTAAATCAACAAGTTGGTCTAATAAAAGTTTTAATCTAAACCTTAGAATCTTCATATTCATCATGATCCTTGTCCAGAACAGGAAGAGTATATTGGATACAAAGTCCTACATCATCATGACTTTTCTATATTACAGATGGAGGTGTTGATGATGTAGCAATTTGGATAAGTGTGTACAGGGCCAGAAAAAAGAGTTTGGAGGTTGGAATTGGAAGGTTGGATTTCTGAAGGTTTGGATTTAAAAAAATTGAAATTCTTGTTGGAAGTTCGCTACATTTTCTTTTCTTTTAAAGAAAAACTACAGAAAAATAATTCAAATTCATTGGATGTTTGTTAGCTATGGTCTGTATGTTTATAAAACATTTCATGGGGAGGTTAGAAAGCAGGGCAGATGGGTGGAGACTGAAATGTATTTTTATCTCATCTTGAATTTTGAATTAAAAAAGGAGATTAGGGGCACCTGGGTGGCTCAGTCGGGTAAGCAACTGCCTTCGGCTCAGGTCATGATCCCAGGGTCCTGAGGTCGAGCCCCACATGGGCTCCCTGCTCAAAGGGGAGTCTTCTTCTCCCTCTCTCTCTCCCTCTGCCTGCTGCTCCCCTGGCTTGCGCTCTCTCTCTCTGTCAAATAAATAAATAAAATCTTAAAAAAATAAAATAATAAAATAAAAAAGGACAGATCAGACCACATAATGGGAGTCATGATCCACTAATCAAATGGTCCTAAAAATTTTTTTTAAATGATTTTCCCCTTCTCATTTATTCTCCTTTTTGCTAAGCACAGCTAACTTCTAAGTGATCATTTTGATAAATAAATCCCAGAATAATAAGATTTATCTGTAGCAAATACATCCCACAGCTGGAACTCATGAAGCATTTATTGCCTGTTGTGCCAGAGAGAGTCTGTTCCAACATTAGCTTCTAAATTCCATGGCAAATTAATTAATACATTGATAGAAATGGTTGTCTAGATATATTGGAGAATTTTGAGAGATGGACATTTAACAGAACGATGTGTCTTTGATTTGCAGTTGAAGGCTCTCTTTAGTCAAATCAGTTGCTGAGTTTTCACTTTAGAACTCTGTGGTCTTATGTTCCCTGTAGTACTTCGATTATTTTCTGTATGAAAACATACTTATCCCTATGCAGCATGAAGGGAAGATGAGAACGGGTTAGTGTTTTAATCTGGCTTCTTTGGTTAACCTTTGAGACTCTATCTCAATACCCACTTGTGACTCTAAAAATGGGTTATCTTGCATATTTCTTCTTCTGTTTATTTTGCTGGGATTACATACAGTAATTATGTTTTAAAAGAAAGCTTACTGTCCATAAACAATGCTATATAGGTAAGTCGATCCCATTTGGTGTAAGTATATTAGACACCAAAGCCCTTCACTGCTACTGTAATTTTCTCGGTTGAGTGATTACAGTAAATCAGAGAAAGTCAGCCACAAAAAATTACCTTCTTCTCGGTCTCCCTGCTAAATAGACTCTACACAGGAAAAAAAAAATAGCTATAATATTTAGGAGACCTCAATTGTCTCTTCTGCTCATTGATTTTTGGTATTCGTGAATCACTAGCACAACAGTAAACCAAAAATGTGTGCAATGCCGTATGCCACAACTGCTTCCCAGGCTTGAGACTGAAACTCCTAAGTTGTTTTGACTGAGCAACTAATAGCAATTTAGATAGTTCTGTACAAATTTAGAGACATGAGATGCAAAACCATTACTGTATTCCAGCACATTCTTCTTGTCAGAACCACTTAAATCACCATCTTACACAAGCACATATTGAAACTCAACTTTAAGCATTTTATTTTTATGTACATTTCATTTTGTCCAGAAATAAAATATCTAAATACAGACAGACTGTAATGTTGTATATGTATAGCTTTCAACAATACTTGAGCTGAATAAATGCTTTGTACATTAAGTTTGTCTTTTTAATGGAGGTCACAGCTACATTGATAAAATGGATTCCTCATATCCTTTTTTTTTTCTTTTTTAACCAATAACAAGCAGAGACAAATACAAGTTAATATTAATAAGCAGCTCAAATAACACTGGGTTAAACTATGTACAATACAAACCATTCATACAAATGAAGACTAGGATATTGAATTTGTTACAATATGTGTAGTAAAGATAAGACAGACACTTATAACTTACATGGTGTCTGTCAGGCATTTCCCTTCTTATATAATGATCAGAACTTGTTTTAAGCAGCCTTAGCTGGTCTCACTTTGCAAAAGTCCAATGACTGGTGATGAAAGCTGTAATCCAATGTCTGCCCACATGTAAATTCCAAATGTTTGCTCATCTTTACTGAAAACAGGCTCCCTCCATAGAAAAAAAGAGCCATCTTATATTACCTTGAATGTGCCTACTATATGCTGGAAAAAATTTACTACACTTTGTTGTGTTCATAAAATAAAGCATACTGAGCTCTAAAGACACATTTTTTTTTCCATTTTAACAAGCATATACTCCTACAGTAGTATTTACCAGTACAGCTACTCCAAGCAGTAGGAATGCATGAATGGGGATTATTGATTAGCATGTACTCAAGACTTTAAAAGAGATTTCCATAACAGCAAGTGTTAGAAACCATTCACTGTCTAGTTAATCCTTTTGCTTGATGAAAGTTTATCCTAAACCATTATGAGTCAGACAATGAAAGCCCTCTTGACAGGAACCGTGACAGATGCAAGCTGAAATGTATAAGAATATGTGTTTGTGTACATCTATGTGTGAGAGCATGTCTTCAAGTGTGCCTTTAAAATCTGTGGTGATTTACAACTATGCTGAGAGATGAAGCTGACTGGGCAGAAATTACATCAGATTGATTTCCACTGGCACATTTGCAGCCAGTTGACAAGAGCAGCAGTGTAGACACATTCCAGGCAACAGATGTGACCTTCTTCTGTGAGGTAACAGCCCTGTCATATGACCTTTAATTCCTCAGGCTTCAGTCTCACCCATGTCCATCCTCATCCGGAGGGGAAGTAAGGTGTGTCGCTGTGGTAGTTGTAGTCGGGGCACACTTTCTGTACTAGTTTATAATCTGTACTATAAAAGGAAATGTAAATACAGATCACCTTAAAGGGCTTGGAGCAGAGCCAGGATACATGACTCTGGGTCTGCTCCTGGTAACAGGTTTTTGAAGGATCATAGTTGCAGAGTGTGTTCTTGGTAGCCTTGTCAACCTTTTCATATTCAATGCGACAGTTAAAGGACTTGGAATCTTTGGCATCAATCACGGTTTGTTGTGCCAAGTCGAATTCCACTATTTTTGTAGGGGGCACCAAGCTGACAGATACATTCCCTTGACCGGTGGAATTATGCCTGAAATAAACACTAAATGTCCCATTGCCGTGATCTACAATTTTCCCAGTTATCAACAGGTTTAGCTTCACTGTTTTGATGTTGGAATGAAAATCACCCCATCCAAACATTTTCTTAAACTTGCCCGTCTTAACAATGGGCCTTCGCTTGGCCCTGGGCCGAGGCTCTTGGAGGTCTGTGGAGTTCCTCAGCCAGTCCCAAAGGTCTTGCTCAGAATAAGGTTCTGGGGTATCATATCGCAGGTCTAAATCTGTATCATTTTCTTTGCCACGAAAAGTCTGTGACAGGAGTCGGCTGATAGACAAGTCTTTGCTGCTTTCTGTCCATATGTGCTTTAGTGTGGATTTGCTGCTTCCTGATTTTAGAAGTTCTGACTTTCCACCATTTGTTAAATTGGCACATGTGACCTGAAAATGGAACAGAAAAATTATGTTTACATCTCCGTATCTGAGAACACCCAACACACAGATCCAAGCCCTTTCTCAGAGGCTCAGAATTAAATGAGGACACTTCACTTAAATTACCTTTAGCATCTGGCTGATATTTATTTGTTAAGACATGATAAAATACCACTTCCATTTTTATATGAGATGGGAGAGAGGAGGTGTAGGTGGATAAAAACCATTAAACATGACTGAAAGACTATATAAAAATATTGACTTTGACAAGGAAAAGACCACCTAACATGAGTAAAGCAAACTGAATTCAAACAGAAATCAAACTAAAGTAATTATTTCTTAGCACCAAAATCCACTTTTTTTTTTTAAAGATTTTATTTATTCATTTGAGACACAGAGATACAGAGAGAAGGAGAGAAGGCATGAGCAGGGAGAGAGGCAGAGGGAGAGGGAGAAGCAGGCTCCTCGCTGAGCCAGGAGCCCAATGTGGGGCTCGATCCCAGGACTCTGGGATCATGACCTTAGCCGAAGGCAGACGCTTAACCATCTGAGCCACCCAGGCACCCCAAATCCAAACACTTTTAAAATAAAAATTTTACAAATCATTGTTATTTTTCTACTTCAAAATTACCATAAGCTTTAAAACTGTATGATTCTCAGAAATACGTCAACCAACATCCTAAAGACTTTTGGTAATTTGTGCCACAGTCCTATTAGAAAAGTCAGTTCTGGGCGCCTGGGTGGCTCAGTCGTTAAGCGTCTGCCTTCGGCTCAGGTCATGATTCCAGGTCCTGGGATCGAGCCCTGCATCAGGCTCCCTGCTCAGCAGGAAGCCTGCTTCTCCCTCTCCCACTCCCACTGCTTGTATTCCCTCTCTTGCTGTGTCTCTCTCTGTTAAATAAATAAATAAAATCTTTAAAAAATAATAATAATAAAAAAAAGAAAAAAAAAGAAAAGTCAGTTCTGCAAAGACACTCTAATATATTTTAACTGGTCAAAACAAAACATGTTTATTATCATCTATTATTATCATGGAACATATTGTATAAGACATAATGTTTTTCAATAATACATTGCATGTTAAAAAAAAGAAGATAGTAGGAAGGGTAAAATGAAGGGGGGGAAATTGGAGGGGGAGACGAACCATGAGAGACTATGGACTCTGAGAAACAAACTGAGGGTTCTAGAGGGGAGGGGATGGGGGGATGGGTGAGCCTGGTGATGGGTATTAAAGAGGGCATGTTCTGCATGGAGCACTGGGTGTTATACGCAAACAACGAATCATGCAGCACTACATCAAAAACTAATGATGTAATGTATGGTGATTAACATAACATAATAAAATTTAAAAAAAAGACATAATGTTTTTGCCTTAAGGGGCTTAAAATGTTGTCTAGGAAAAGGGACATAAATGAAAACATCTAATACACAACATCTTAGAGATAACTGACAATCTAGAGAAACAAACAACACATGGTCAATGACAGAGAGGTCACTTCAGGTTGGAATGTGAGAGTCACATTAAGAAACCATCCTCCTGGGACCCTGGTCTTGTCTCTTTGGGAAGATTTAGATCCCCAACTAGACCAGGGATTCAGAGGAACCCTAAATCTAACTTACTGACCAAACATCCAAATCTGTACTTGCCAAATTAAACAAGCATGTCCTTAGCACAGCTCCTATATCTATGCCTTAGTATAGAAGAAATAAAAGAAAGAAATGAGTATCTACAATGCACTCATTAGCCTAAAGTTAAAGCAGTGACCTCTGATCCTGACAGGGAGGCCTCAAGGACAGTAGGGAAGACAGCCAAGAACCCACAGGAATTAAAACAGCCAATACAAAAAAAAAAAAAACCTTTTAAGATGTAGACTGACTGCCTATAGGGTAAGTCTGCCAAAGAGAGTCCCACACTGCCCATTAAGAAGCCAAGTTTCAGGGGCGCCTGGGTGGCTCAGTTGGTTAAGCGACTGCCTTCGGCTCGGGTCATGATCCTGGAGTCCCGGGATCGAGTCCCACATCGGGCTCCCTGCTCGGCGGGGAGTCTGCTTCTCCCTCTGACCCTCCTCCCTCTCATGCTCTCTGTCTCTCATTCTCTCTCTTGCAAATAAATAAAATCTTAAAAAAAAATTAAAATAAAAAAAAAAAAAGCCAAGTTTCACAATAAACCTCCATCTTCAGTCCTATCTCAGACATGAGTCTGACTACCACTCAGCAGCTTCGTTTGGAGCCTCCAGTCCCCTTCCGAACTGCTCTCAAAATAAGAGGCCATTGCTGGAAAGCTTTTTAATTCAGGTCTACTAGGCATTAGAACTGCATTCTAGAGGTCTGTCTATAGACTTAGGCAGGAAGGCCTAAGGTACAACTCTGGCCTGAGAGTAGCCTTTTACTCCATCACTTGTGCTAAAAGGACTCTATCCCAATCCCTAGGGAGTAAGGGCATAAACGTTAGAGCCAGTCTCCCTGGAATCTATGCTAAGCTCTGCCACTGCCAAGCTGTGTGCCCTTGGTCAAGTCATTTAACATCCCTCTACCTCAGTTTCCTACATCTGCAAAGTGAGGGTAACAATGGTGCCTCCCTCATAAGGTAGCTCAGACATGGAAATGGTTCAATTAAATTCAGCTATTTTTATAAATCCCAAGCTGCTATGTGAAGACAACTAGAGAAAGGAGGTCACCAAGTGGTACATATGGAGATCTGTTTTGAGGGTAGCTTTGCTCTTGATTACATAGCCAAGTACTCAGAACCTACATGGGATGTGTTTCCCCAGGGATATACATGCAAGAGGCCTTGGTAATCTAAGCTAGAACAAAGTCACTTAGATCTGTAATGTTGTCTTTTCACAAATTCCTCAGGATCAATGAGCTTTCCCACTGCCAGCTGGCAAATGGTCTTATCTCTACCCAGTTCAAATTGAGACAGTATGAGTGGTATGAAGCCATTCCCACCTGGGAAAAACTACCAGCTGAAGCTGGTCTCTTCCCAGTAATGCTGAGCTTAAGAAACCCTGCAAGTTTAGTCCCACATGAACTCATTGCCTCTCATCCATGAAAATGGATTTATACCTCATGACTGCACCATGAAAAACCAAGACTATGATATTGGGTGGGCTAACACAAAAGCTCTGTCACCATTTCAAACTACTAGCCTGGGTCCAGTTGCAACCACTGTGATCCTCAAGGCAATTGTGATGCCCTTATAGAAAGATCCAGAAGGCCATTGTGCACAGAGGTTAATAGAGGAGAGACAAACACTGACCAATGGAGAATCAGACCCTACGGATGGGATGAGGTGCAGAAATAATGCATGGATTGTGGTGGAGGTGCCACATCTAACGGAAGTAAAGATCACCCTCCTGCACAAAATCTCTAAACTCTTAAACATATCAATACCCAACCAAAATGAACAAACTTGGGGCAAATATAGGGAATTGAAAGAAGGTTGTGTTTGCTGCCGACTTTTTTTTTTTTTAATTTAAATTCAATTGGCCAGGATATAACTACATCATTAGTTTTTGATATAACGTTCAATGATTCATTAGTTGAGTATAACACCCAGTGCTCGTCATATCACGTACCCTCTTTAATACCCATCTTTCTTTTAGTGCTAGGTAATTCCCTTTCAGTTGTCCTCAACCCTCAAATTGGTCTCTCCTCTTTTCCCCCTGCACCCAAACTGTTTCCTGTTTGCAAATTCCTTTCATTCCAAAACATTCCAGAAATGGATCACACTCAAGCAGTATGTGAGCAGTAACAGCAAAGTGGCTGCCTTATCAAAATTCAATTTGTTTTTTAACAAGGACTATATATTAAGTCTTAACGGGATGAGACTGAGAAGGAAATACCCTTTGGGGAGGGGGATGATGCATAGAAATGTATGAGCTTTCTTAAGGGAAAAGCATGAAATTTCCTATCTATCCTCTCTGCCTGATAATAAAGTCAGTCCTCTATGGAACAATTTTTACTCTAATATGAAAAGTATAATCCTTAGTACTTCCATAGTTAATATTATATCATTATAATTTACAAAACAAAAACAACTACAGTTCTACTAATTCACTGAAAGAAGTGCATTTCAAAATAACTTTTTCTATAACAGTAGCTATAGTATAAAATTTAAAACAAACAATTTATAAGAGTAGTACAGCTCTTTTAGCTTCGGAGTTTATTTTTTGTGTATTTATTTTATTTTGTCTTGATGAAATCTAATTGATTGGTCAAACATCCAAATCTCCACTTGCCTGACTATATAAATGTTGTCCTTAACACAGCCTCTATATTTATGCTTAGTACAAAAGAATTACAAGAGGGGCACCTGGGTGGCTCAGTCGTTAACCGTCTGCCTTCGGCTCAGGTCATGATCCCAGGGTCCTGGGATCGAGCCCCGCATCGGGCTCCCTGCTCGGCGGGAAGCCTGCTTCTCCCTCTCCCATTCCCCCTGCTTGTGTTCCCTCTCTCACTGTGTCTCTCTCTGTCAAATAAATAAATAAAATCTTTAAAAAAAAAAGAATTACAAGAAATAAATGCATATCCTATTCTCAATTTTTACCTGGAATTACATAAGTAGTTTCCTATTCTTTGCATGACAAGAAAAATAAATACAGGCACATATTTGGTTTCGGTACTTGTATCTCAGCATCAACACAATTGATTAGGAGAGGGGCTGTAATGAGACGCATCCATGGTGCACTGGCTCATGAAGCAGTAATGAATTGTCCCAAAAGAAGGAAGTAAAAGGGAATTAGAGTGCAATCCACCAGCAGCATATGAGAAGTGAAAGGAAAAAAATGTAGAAGTAGGAGATAGGATTTTAAAGAGCCAATCTATTCAATAAAGATGCTAAGACTGACAGGCAAATAAACCTCTGAATTTTGGGTAGAACAGATACTTAGTTCTAAATGATACTCTCCACATCTGTAGTGACTATGAGTGTGAGTTCTGGAGCTAGATGGCCTGAATCCCAATCTAGGCCGTGATCTGTAACAGCTATATGATATAGGTAAGTGGCT